GCGCTGGTAAATGGGATTAGTTTGTGGATTGATACAGGGCTATAGGGAGGGTGCAGGTAAATGGGATTAGTTTGGGGATTGATACAGGGCTATAGGGAGGGTGCAGGTAAGTGGGATTAGTTTGGGATTGATACAGGGTAATGGTGTAAGAGTGGGACAGTGTGATTAGTTTGAAAAGGATGACATGGTGGCTCAGAGGTTAGCAGTTGGTATGGGCTGAATGGCCTGCTTCCACACTGTAGGGATTCAATTATTCTACCAGGTGACTATTCATAGGGATTTTTTTTTGTCCATTGGAAAAAGGGTAAAATTGGGTGTGATGCTGGTTTTACAGATGTCTTGATTTTACTGAGGCCAAACTCTCGCTTGCTGATATGGGTTTAAAGGTAAATGTCCAATGTATCAGGATGGTGTTTTGACTAATGGGAGCCCAGGTTACATGGTTGCGGCTGGGTTGGGGTTAGTGGCAGACAGAAAGCATGATCTCCCAACTTTGACAGACTGATGTTTTACAGGACGTTAGTGAGGCCTCTTTTGGAGTACTGTGTGCAGTTCTGGTCACCTTGTTATTAGGAGGGATATTACTAAACTAGAGAGGGTTCAGAAGAGATTTACTGGGATGTTGCCAAGAATGGAGGGTTTGAGTTTGAGTTAGACTGGCTAGGCTGGGACTGTTTTCACCGGTGTGTAGGAGGTTGATGGGTGACCTTATAAAATCATGAGTGGCATAGATAAGGTGAATGACAGGGGACTTTTCCCAAGGATGGGGGGAGTTCAAAACTGGGGGGCATACTTTTAAGATGAGAGGATAAAGATTTTAAAAGGACTTGAGGGGCAACTTTTCTTCACATAGAGAATGGTTCGTGTGTGGAATGAAATGCCAGAGATAGCAGTGGATGTGGGTACAGTTACAACATTTAAAAGATATTTGGATAAGTTCATGAATAGGAGAGGTTTGGAGGAATATTGGCTAAGCACAGGCAGTTGGGACTAGTTTAATTTGGGAATATGTTCGGCATGGGCTAGTTGGACAGAACGGTCTGTTTCCCTGCTGTATGACTGTATGATTAAATCCATTCCAGGAGGATTCGTCACGTGATATTCCCCCAGGCTCCATCATTGGTCAGCAATCACATCCATCTTTATGCCTTCCTACACCAATCAGAAAGCAAAAAGACTCTTCAATTTGCATTCCCCCAATTCTCAACGTTGTTTTTACAGCTGATAAAGGCAGATGGTCAAAGATACTGAGAAACAAACACAATCACTTTAAAGTCACAGTGATTCTTTTTCCCAGGGGTTGCACACAGCAATGAACTGGAGATTGTTTTTTGGCTTTGTAATTGTTTCACAGGATGTGGACGTTGCTGGCGGGCCCAGTGTTTCTTGCCCATTCCCTAATCGTCCCTTGGTGACCCTCTTGCAACGCTGCAGTTCATGTGGACGTAGGACACACATATTACTGTGAGAAAACAGATTCATAGAAAATAGGAGGCCATTCGGCCCGTCAATCCTACTCCGCCATTCAGTATAATCACGGCTGACCCTCTATCTTAATGCTTTCTCTCCATACTCCTTGGTGCCTCAGGGCAACTTTCCCCATGTGACTCCTTCCCCAAAGCAATGAGGATCCTGCCCTTAATGCGTTTAAAATCTAAAAAAATCTGTCTCTTTCTTGAATATATTCAGTGACTTGGCCTCCACAGGTTTCTGTGGTAGAGAACTCCACGGGTTCACTACCCTCTGAGTGAAGAAAATGGTCCTCATCTCAGCTCTAAATGGTCCATCCCATGTCCTAAGAATAGGTGTCCCCTGGTTCTAGACTCCCCAACCAGGGAAAATATCATCCCTGAATAAGGTGTTCTGACCTGAAATGTTGACTTTCCTGCTCCTCGGATGCTGTCTGACCCTGCTGTGTTTTTCCAGCCCCACATTTTTTTGACTCTAGCTTCCAGCATCTGCAGTCCTTTCTGTCTCCCACTCCCTGCCCCTAGTCTGTCCAGCCCTGTTAGAATTTTATACATTTCAATCAGATCCCTCTCTCATCCCAGTCGAACCAGTCTGTCCTCATAGGATAGTGCCGCCATCTCTAATGTCTCAAGATCCAGGATTTTGACCCAGCGACAGTGAAGGAGCGGTGATACATTTCCAAGTCAGGATGGTGTGCTGCTCAGAGGCAGTTCCCATGCATTTGCTGCCCTTGTAGTAGAGATTTAGAAGGTGATGTCAAATCAATTTCCTGGAGATGCAATTTCAATTTCTTGGAGATGGTCCGATCCTGGAGGGTTGGCAGCCCAAGAGTCAAGTGCTACCCTAAGGCCTCACAGCCATGCCTGGAAATCTGCTGAGAGGAGAGAATGGAGTCACATGAGGAAGCTGCCCTGAGGGTCTGCATGGTCACGCCAGGCAGTCTGCCAAGGGAAGGGAAGAAGTGGCACGGGAAAAGTACCCCAAGGATCCTCATTGCTGAGGGGGAAGGAGTCACGTGGGAAAGCTGCCCTTAGGCATCATGCCTACACCTGGGCCTCTGCTAAGGGAAGAAGTTGCATGGGGAAGCTGCCTTGAGGGTCCTCCTAACCACACCTTAAAAGTCTCCTGGGGGAAGGGAAGGAGTTACATGAGAAAGCTGGCCTGAGGCTCCTCATGGGCACAATTGGGTCTCACAGTGCAGATCTTCTGAGGGGAAAGCAAGGGAAGAAATGACATGGGAAAGCTACCTTCAGGCTTCATGGTCACACCTGGAAGTCAGCTGAGGAAAGGGAAGGAGTCATATGGGAAAACTGGTCTGAGGGTCCTCCTGGGCCTCTACTGAGGTGAGGGAAGGAGTCACATGGGTAAGTTGGCCCTTCATGGGCACACATGGGCTTCATGGTTCCAGATCTGCTGAGAAAAACATAAGGGAAGAAAGTTACATGGGAAAAGTACCCTGAGGTTCCTCACGGCCACACTTAGGTGTCACAGTAGAGGTCTGCTGAGGGGAAGGAGCCTTATGAGGAAGCTGCCAAGAGGTCTACTGAGGGAAGGGAGGGAGTCCTATGGGAAAGTTGGCTTGTTCATCGTCATGAAAAGAAAGAGGGATGGTTTCACCCGGGAAAGCTGGCCCATGGATCTTCATGAAGGAAAAGAGGGAAGGAGCCCCACAGGAAAGCTGGCCGGTGGATCCTCACAAAGGGAAAGAGGGAAGAAGTCCCATGGGAAAGCTGGGAAAGAGGGAAGGAGTCCCATGGGAAAGCTGGGAAAAAGGGAAGGAGTCCCATATGAAATGAAATTCTAACGGAACTCTTGCTGCTTTTCCCGTTCTGTCTTGCAGGCGAAGTTGATCGTGCCCAACAGCACGGCAGGGCTGATCATCGGGAAAGGTGGCGCGACCGTGAAGGCGGTGATGGAGCAGTCTGGGGCCTGGGTGCAGCTGTCGCAGAAGCCCGAGGGCATCAACCTGCAGGAGCGGGTGGTGACGGTGAGCGGCGAGGCCGAGCAGAACCGCAAGGCAGTGGAGCTGATCGTGCAGAAGATCCAGGAGGATCCGCAGAGCGGCAGCTGCCTCAACATCAGCTATGCCAACATCTCGGGCCCGGTGGCCAACTCCAACCCGACCGGCTCGCCTTACGCCAACTCGACGGAGGTGCTGCCAGCAGCGGCGGCGGCAGCGGCGGCGGCTTCGGCGGCAGGCCTGCTGGGCCACGCCAACCTGGCGGGGGTGGCAGGCTTCGCAGGCGGTGGCGGAGGAGGAGGAGGAGGCGCCGCCGGCCTGTCCGGCTTCACCGGCAACGACTTGCTGGCCATCAGCTCGGCCCTCAACACGCTGGCGAGCTACGGCTACAACACCAACTCGCTAGGCCTGGGCCTCAACCCGGCCACCGCCACCGGAGTCTTGGCGGCGGTGGCGGCCAGCGCCAACCCTGCGGCCGCCGCCGCCGCCAACCTCCTGGCTTCGTACGCCAGCGAGGCCTCAGCGGCGGCGGCGGGAGGAGGAGGAGGAGGAGGCGGGGGAGGCGGTGGAGGAGGCGGAGGCAACAACCCCGGCAGCGCGGTGGGTACCTTCTCCCTGGGCTCCTTGGCGGCCGCCACCAATGGCTACTTCGGCGCAGCGTCTCCCCTGGCTGCTGGCTCCATCCTGGCGGCCGAGAAGCTGGGCGAGGCCTCCAAGGACGTGGTGGAGATCGCGGTGCCCGAGAACCTGGTCGGCGCCATTTTGGGCAAAGGCGGGAAGACGCTGGTCGAGTACCAGGAGTTGACTGGCGCCCGCATTCAGATCTCCAAAAAGGGTGAGTTTATCCCCGGCACCAGGAACCGCAAGGTGACCATCACCGGCACGGCGGCCGCGACCCAGGCCGCGCAGTATTTAATCAGCCAGAGGATCACCTACGAGCAAGGGGTCCGCGCCGCCAACCTCCAGAAAGTCGGTTAAACAACAACAACAACAACAACACCAAACCAAACGAGGTGCCGAAACAGAAAGACAGGTTTCCGTTTTTTTTCTAAAAAAAAAGAACTGAAAGGGGCTTATATAGTACTTGATTCTAATTAAAACGTCTTGTATTAATATATTATATGACAACGTCAGAGATCTGTGTATATGTAAATAATGTTTACCACTTGTTTCCATGGAGACCACTTCTTGTTTCTCAATCTCTTTTCTTCTTCCCCCCCCCCCCCCCCCTTTTTTTTTTGTCTCTTTTTTCCCCCCCCCCCCAATCTCCCCCTATCTTTATGGCTTCCCCACCCCCGCCTCCTGCCCAGTCCCTGGATGTGGTCCTTTTGGATTTGACCAAAATGTCGGCCTCAGGCGGTCAGTCAGTTGCCCTCCGAGGCCAAAGTGGGATGGGATGCTGGGTGAGCCTGAAATGACCTCCTTTCCTACTCCCCCAACCCCCCACTTCCCTTTTTACTCCTGTCCCACTCTCCTCTCTTCCCTGACCCTCCCTGGTCTCTCCTCGACATCCCCTCCGCTCGCTCTATTGCCCTCACTACGATCCCCTTCTCACCTCACCCCCTCTTACCCCATCAATGCACCCCCTCTATGTCCCAACTCAATCCTTATCCTCCTCCTCCCCCTCCCCCCTCCCCCCTCCACTCCCCCCTCCTTTTCCCCTCCCCGCTCCTTCCCCCCCCCCCCCACTCAACCCTTAATCCCCCTCCCTGCCTCCCTCTCTGCCAACACTCAATCTTCACCCCTTGCCTCCCTTGCTACTCCTTTCCCCATCACTGTCCCTCCCCCTCCTTGACCTCATTCAACTCCAATCCCCTTCCCCCTCACCACCTACAGCCCTCTGTTGACCCCTTCCTCAGTCCCCACCCCATCTCAGCTCCATCACCATCTCTACCTTCCCCTTCCTCTTACTTCTCACTGCCTCCCTTCTCGCTATTCCCTCCCCCATCTCCTTCCCAACATCCCCATCCCCTCCCCCCTTCCCCCATCCTCTATCTCCTTTCCCCATCCACCTTCTCCCTCATCCTCCCATCCCTCCCTCTGCCCACCAACTTCCCATCTACCCGTAGTGTAGACTGGATATATCCAGCTGGATGTATCCCTGGATGCTCTGACAAGGGTCCTGCCCTCTCTAGTGGCCAAGCACCACAGCGCTCCTGCCGTTGATAGATTGGCACATCCATCATGGTGTCACTTTGCTTTTTTGACTCCTGTTAGACTGGCGAACAAACCTTTCAATCCATACCCCCTCAAACGTCCTCAATTGCCCAAACCCCATCCCTGATATTTTTATTATTCGGGAATTAAAGGGATCTACAAGAATGAGGGAAGGAAAACGCACAATGCCCCTGAGGAGTTGGTTATCCCTGGGTCTTGTTCCTGGCAAGGTTGTGGGGGAATTCCAGGGCAGCCCTGGAAAAGTTGGCAATTCTGCTCTTCATCCCAATCTAACGGCAATGTGAAAATGCCAGCAATACTTATCACATTCAAAGTTTCGAGTAAAACGCCAGCTTTTTTTCCCCCTTGCTTCCCGGGTCTTGAAAGGAAAACGGCTTGGGAGTATGGGTGCTTAACCTTTTCCGGGAGCGTTTTTGGGCTCCATCGGCCCAGTTGCAGACCCTCAATGAATTGTCACAGAAACTGAGAGTTGAAAACTATCAGCAAAATTGACCAGGCTGGAGTTGTTTCCTCTGGAAAGGAGATGGTTGACATGTGACCAGATTGCGGCCTTTAAAATTTTGGAAGAATTGAGTGGGCCATGTGTTAGGATCCCAAAACTAGCACCCAGCTTCATCCTGGCTCTTTGAAAGAGCTATCCAGTTTAGATCCTCACTTTTGCCGGTAACTCTGTAAACTAGGAGAGGCCTCACTGTAAGATAGCAGCTGATATATTCCAGTGATAATTCAGGGCGAACTGCTTTGGCCAGAGACCAGTAAGAATGTGGGACTGGTTGCCACAGGGAGCAGTAATATAGACTCAGTGTATTTAAGGGAAAGATAGATAAACACATGAGGATGAAAGAAACAGGAGCAGAAACTGAAGTTGCTGGAAAAACTCAGCAGATCTAGCAGCATCAGTGGAGAGAGAAATCAGAGTTAATGTCTTGGGTCCAGTGGCCCTTTCTCAGAACTGAAAAACGAGGCGGTTGTGTCGCTATGTTGAGATGGGAAGTGGGTTGTACGAGGTTGGTTTTGTGATCTAGTCTGTCCTCCCACTCAGGCCTTTGCGAACGGAGGTGGCATTTGGTCAAATGCTCCATAAAAACGATGGGTGCAAAATATTTGACAATAGCGAGAACATTCCCTCTGCAAAGGATAAACAAACTCCTGTAGGAAAAGGTGTAATGTCCACGTGGCCTGTCTGTTCTATTGGATAAGTTATGACTGACTCAGTTTCCTATTGATTTGTATCTGTTTTTATCACCATTTATCCAATTGTCTTTTGAACCCATTCCCACTTTAGTGCCCTCATGGTCGAAAGAAACAAGTCGAGACTAGCATTTCCAGCATCAAGCAAGCCACACTGACCAGAAATAAGTTCACAATTGCGATACACTGCACCCTCACTATCAGACCCTCAGTTATAATCGCTGTTTCTGTTTCACTGATCCTCAGTAAAGCACTCTCTGTTATAATTCTCCCTCTGTCACAGTGACCCTTTTTGTGAAACTTTCAGTTATAATCATAAAATCCCTACAGTGCGGAAGCAGGCCATTTGGCCCATCAAGTCCACACCATGGCAGAGTGGCTAGCACTGCTGCCTCACAGCAGTACCAGGGACCTGAGTTCGATTCCAGCCTCAGACGACTGTCTGTGTCGAGTTTGCATGTTCTCCCTGTGTCTGCGTGGGTTTCCTCCAGGTGCTCTGGTTTCTTCCCACAGTCCAAACATGTGCAGGTTAGGTCGATTAACCTTGGGAAATGCAGGGTTATGGATGGGATGCTCTTTGGACGGTCAGTGTGGACTCGATGGGCCGAATGGCCTGCTTCTACACTGTAGGAATCCTATGAACTCTCCAAAGGATGAGCCACTCCTGCATTTCCCCTGGCTAATCCAGCTAGCGTGAACACTATGAGTAATTTTAGCATGGCTAATCCTCCTAACTTTTAGACTGTGGGAGGAAACAGGAGCACCCAGAGGAAACCCACACAGACACAGGGAGAATGTGCAAACTCCACACAGGCAGTCGCCCGAGGGTGGGATCGAACCCAGGTCCCTGGCGCCGTGAGGCAGCAGTGCTAGCCACCCCACACTGTCTGCTACATTTACCTCAGTCTGACTCTCAGTTATAACACTCTTTCTGTTACACTGACCCTCCGTATACGGCTCTGTTATAATTACTCCGTTGCCTTACCCAGTCACGTGCTATGTCAACAGTTTGACTTTTTCTACACTTCAGTCACCAATGCAAGGGAAATGTATCCCAGTTGTTAGACTGAATTTCCCCTGTGCGATTATGTCTTCTATTGTCACACTCCTTGGGGTATAGAGACATTCTTTAACCTTGTAGTGCCCAAATAACATCTGCTTCTCACCACACAGGCAGGCCTGATCCACTTGACCTTTAGATCAAGCAGCCCACAGGTAGGACATGGATTTGTACCTGATGCCTTTTCACAGCATGGGAAAGAACTAGCGTCTGTGATTCCGTACGCTGACCAATCGAGCTATAGTTACCCAAGGCTGAGGGTCCATTAGTTGACAGTTGGTTATGGTCCTGGATTCTGAAGGGGTTTGACAGGATAGACACTGAAGAGTGTGTTTCTTCATTGTTGGGGAATCTAGAACATGGAGGTACAATCCCAGGGCGGGGTGGGACTGAGTTGAGGAGAAATGTCTTCACTCAGTCTTGTAAATCTTTGGAATTCTCTACCCTGGACGTTTGGGGAGGTTCTGTCATTAAAAATATTTAGGTCTGGGGTAGACAGATTTTTGGGAATCAAGGGAATGGGGAGTGGATGGGAAAATGGATTTTAAGCCCCCATTCAGGTGTTATCGTATTGAATGGCAGAGTAGACTTGATGGTCTCCAGGTGAGTGTACAGTATTTATGGGTCCCTGGGTTTGCAGGTTGATGTTCCTCCATGAACAGTTCACTTCCCAGCTTCAAGGGAAAGACTCCTTCCCACCTCACATCCCTGGATTTCTTCCCACATAATATCAATTCGCTGTTTGAGTAGTTCGCTTGCGTCCATCTTATGTATCCCTGGGACTGAGCCATGAGAGTTGCTGGTGTCTGTTGGGTGGAGGGGATTGGTATTTGTGATTAGGCTGCCTCCACCTTTCTCCTTGTCACCGGGTTTCAGTCTGACGTGATCTCCTCCCCCCTCATTTACTAATACAGTACCTTCAGCACTGCTCCACTTTGCCACAAGCTGTGACCTATATCTTGTCCAAAGACTGAGATTACCCTGACTGGCGTAGTTATTTATAGAACTTCAAACCAGAACATCTTGAGTGTATTTCTCTATTCCTTGTGAGTACATCGTATGAATGTCTGTAGGGAAGGTGGGTCAAAGGCTTGGGATCTGATGAGGTACTGCAGCATTGAAAGGGGTACAACAATGAGAGAGAGAGATAGAGAGAGACAGTGATGCAGCTGGGAATTGTTACTGTGTTACTCCCAGAGTCATGGATCCAGAAGGAGGCAAGATACCTTGTTTTGACTTTACCCTCTTCTAGACCATATCCTCCCCTACCTTCTCCTCAGTCTGACCTCCTGCATCCTCCCCTCTTGGTGATTTGGATGCTTCCAAGCCAACGTTGAGGCTACCAATTGGGACTCCCATGTTAGCAGTTTGTTGTGGGCATTCCCGACTCCACTATCCAGTTGCGTTGTGTGTGCCCCTTTCAGTCAGGTGCCGCCGCAGTTGATATTCCACCAGGTCTTTGGCTGAGGCGTTCCATTGAATTTGAACTTTTTGCCTCTAATAACCACCCCCACCTTCAGCCCACCTGCCAAACCCTCGCCCACTCCTCCCTCCCCACCTCCACCTCCATTGAACAAACTGAAACAAAGAGCTGCAGTATTAAACCTAAAGAGAAGCATTGAGCAACAAGGTCTTTG